AGTTAATTTTTTACTTGCAATAATTGTTCAATCAATCACTGATATATCTGAATTTAGACGATAACATTAAACTGTACTATTGCAACTAACTGTTAGCCATCAGTTGACGACAGATCAAAAAGAACATATTGGTACTAACTATATAGATTGTCGACAATAAAATTACTGTTTAGTTCATTCTCAACAACGACAAAAACAGGTTACAGACCCGATAAATCTATAGTTTAGATTATCATCAGAACAACTGTCTATCAAACTTCAACTAATATAAGCGTAATTTAGCCCAAGCAAAAGTGATTAAATTAGTCAAACAATTAACTAATTTAACAGCATTATTTTTCTTTTTTTTTGCCTCGATTTTTACACTGACTAATTCTTTTTTTTTAAATTGTTGATTTTATCGACAATTTTATATTTCTCTTAATTTTGCCACTACATTTCACATGTATCATATGTTGAAAAAGAGAGAAAAAAAAAGCGAAGAAAGAAGGCAACTTGTTATAAAGAAGTTCCAAGTTCACATACATCGCATAGTATCGTTGTTAAAACTGAACACTGACTATTTTTGCTAAAAGTTATGAGTTCTACTGTTTACCTGTTATATATTTGGTTACAGCAAGAAAAGTTTTTTTTTTTTCAGACTAAAACAGGATACAACATTTAAACGTTAATTGATGCTTCAATAAAATCATTTTTATCTCTTAATTGGTTGTCATAAACAACAGGAACATCACCTTCAAAAATTTTATCTTAAAGTTCAAGAGCATTAATTAAAACAAAAAAAAATTACTTAAATAGTTTTTTATTTAGCATAAACAGTTTTAAAGTCTACAGTATAAATGTTTAAAAAAATTTTAAGCCATTTTTTTTTGTTGTTCTTGTTGTTGTTTCTGTTGTCAAAAGTTCATGCTATTTAAGTAGCTACAAAAAAACTGAAAAGACCATTAAAAGCTTGCTTAATAAATTAAGTGGTTTTTTTTTTACTAAAATAAATGTTAATTAATTAGTGTTTTTTTCTAGGCTACAAAATCAGTAAGTAGTAAAGTGAAGAAAAAGTCTAAAAGATAAAGAGCAAAAAGGAAAGCAAAAGAAGAAGCAACAAATTGAAATTATAACTTCAATGTTCACTAAGCTTTGCACAAAATGCTAACAATTTGTAACTTTAATATAAATTTTTCAGTAAACTGTTTACGTAAAAAAATTCTGTTAGAAACAATCGGCAGATCATAGACTGCAGTCATTACTGTACAGTTGATGTTTAACCTTACCATTCAATCTTCGTTCGTTAATTACCAAATAGATTAAACCGGGGATTTTTAAGTCTACATAGTTCGTTGTGATGCTGTTGTAAAATAACGCGAAATTTGAGGCTCAGCGACAATGGCTGTAAAAAAAAAGGAAAAGGTAAAAGAAAAAACTAGATGTTGATATTGCTGATACTATTTGTTTGTCATTAATCATTAGCTGCCCTCTGAACTTGACTGGGGTAAACATAAGAATAGTTAAAAAGATGGAAAGGTATGCTCTTGAGAAGAAAGTAAAGAGTAAGCAAAAAAAAAAAA